AAAAAAAGGGGGGAAATCTGGTAAGAATAAGATTTGCTGAGGGGGCACTTCTTGGGAAATGTGCTCCTCGGTACAATCCCAGAATTGTCGCCTAAAGTGCCTTTTCCAGAAAGAAAATAACCTTTCGCTCTATCCCAGACTCTGCTCTCCTCCTCCTCTTATTTCTAAGACCTTTGTTGTTGTTGTATGCCTTCAAGCCCTTTCCGACTTATGGCGACCCTACTATCATGGGGTTTTCTTGGCGAGTTTCTTCAGAGGGAGGTTGCCATAGCCATCCTCTGAGGCTGAGAGAGTGTGACTTGCCCAACGTCAGCCAGTGGGTTTCCATGGCTGAGCCTGGATTCGAATCCTGGTCTCCAGAGTCCTAGTCCAACGCTCAAACCACTAGACCACGCTGGCATCTTACCAATAATATAAACAATTATATACTTAGGTAGTTCCAGAGTCTTTGATAATGTGGGACTCAGTGCTGCTACTGTCTTGTTAGTTGATAGCGTGTATTTTCTTCTAATGGCCTTACAGGACTCCCTCTGGTAGATGCTAATGTACATTATTTTGTTGCTGTATGCCTTCCAAGTCCTTTACTGCTTATGGCAACCCTTAGACAAACATATCATGGGGGCTGGGTGTGGGTTTTTTGGCAAGTTTGTTTGGGGGTGTATGTTACCCTCCCAGACTGAGCGAGTGTGATGTGCCCAAGGTGGGCGTCTGGGGCCATTGCCTCAGGCTGAGAGAGTGTGACTTGCCCAGGGTAAACCCAATGGGTTTACATGGCCAAGCTGGGATTTGAACCCTGGTCTCCAGAGTCATAGTCCAACGCTCAAAGCACTTTACCACACTGGCTCTGTAATGTAATTATTATGTAATGCAAAAGCATAGGACGTCAGCCCAGCTATATTCCCCCTCCTTACCCATTCTGCTAATTGGGCTTCTGGACTTCTAATCCAAAGTCTTGTGCTGGGCATTGGAAGTAGGAAAGGCCGATCTGGATGTCTCAGAGACAAGGAAATAAGAGTGCCTCACCCATAAAAGGAATGATTCATTTGTTGTTCTTCCTCAACTCCAGGACTTTTGAAATCTTATCTTCACTTTTTAATTTTATTTTTTTCTTTTGCTTATTGATTTGTTTGGTTTTAGCATGGTCTATTTTTGATCTTAACACAGTACTTTTCATCTTTCTGTGAGCCAGGCATAGTTACTTTCACCATCTTGGTTTGAATTAGAATTGGTATAAAATCTTTCAAAACCCACCTCTGTTTGGAATATAGGCAAGAAGTAATGGAACCTTTGACTGTATAGTTCATGAAAGGCTATGGAACGCCCTTAAAGACATGGGAGTGCCAACACATCTGATAGTCCTGATAAGGAATCTGTACTCAGGACAAGAGGTTACTGTCAGAACAGAACACAGAGAAACAGAATGGTTCCCAATTGGCAAAAGGGTCAGACAAAGTTGCATACTTTAACCCTATCTGTTCAACTTGTATGCAGAACATTATAAGAAAAACAGACTTGGACATAGAAGAAGGAGGGGTGAAAATAGCAGGAAGGAATATCAACAATCTAAGATATGCAGAAGACACCATAGTACTAACAGAAAACCTCACAGATCTGGAACACCTACTAAGGAAGATCAAAGAAGAAAGTGCTAAGGCAGGGTTAATGTTGAAAAGAAAAATAATGACCGCCGAGGACCTTCACAAGTTCAACCTAGACAATGAAGAAATAGAAATAGTAAAAGAACTCTCATACCTAGGATCAAACATTGATAGAAACGGGGACTGCAGTCAGGAAATCGAAGAAGATTAAGAGCTGGGAGGACAGCCATGAAAGAAATAGAAAGTATTCTAAAATGCAGATATACAACTCAGCACAAAAGTTAGAATCATACAAGTCATTGTATTCCCTTTTACCATGTATAGATGTAAGAGCTAGACACAAGATTGACTCGACAGTTAACAACAACAAATGAAAGCTTGAAGGTGAGAGAATTGAAGGAGAAATCAAATCAAATCCAGTCCCTCAGTTGATGAAACAGCATCCATCAGCAAAACAGACCTGCCTGTTCTGATACAGCCCCCACTTCTTCCACAACAGATGGAGAAGAGTGTAGAAAGCTCCATAGGGAAGGAGATGTCTGTTGCCCTGGGATTTTGAAGGTTTTTAATATGCTAGTAAATTCAGAGGGCATTGTGTGTGTGTATGTGCCTTTCAAGTTCCTCCATGAATTTTGTAAGGTTTTCTAGGCAAGGAATACTCAGAGATGTTGTTGTCAGTTCCTTCCTTTGAAATGTGGTCTACAGCACCTGCTGTTTGTTGGAAATCTCACATCCAGGTACTAACCAGGGCTCACCCTGCTTAGCTTCCAAGATCAGATGGGATCTGGTGCCTTTAGGGTTTGTTGTTGTTGTTGTATTTCACCATTTTTGTGACTGTGGAGACATTAGTGCTTGCTGCTGGACATAATTCTTCCACCAGTCCTAATGCAGGGTAGTGAAAAGCCAGTGGAATTGCCAAATCCTATCCAGTCTGAATTTCCACATTCTCTCCTCCTCCTCTGGTGTCACATTGTTAGGACTGTAAGATAAATCTTTATGTATGGTGAATGACTGTGAGGTTTCTGCATCTGGTCATGTGAAAATACGATGTGATATGCTAACTCATGATCGCTTATGAAATCTTAGCTATTGAAGCTACTGGGGCAATTTCTTAATGTTGATACAGTTAACCCCCCTCTTGATTAAAAGATGTTCAGATGGTGGTTTTCAGATTTTTCTAATACTTGTGGCATCTTGTAGTATACATCACATTCCATGTTTCTGACATGTGGGTACATTCACCTAACAATTTTGATAATCTTCAGCATATTAGGTCCTAGATCTTTCTCTGGCAGATATTTCTTCATTTTTCTCTTACCAGCTAATTTGGATTGCAAATACTAATGTGTGTGAGTAAATCGGGGCTGGGTGGATTAGCAACATCTCTACTGATTTCTGGTTGTGTAATACTTGTGCAAATTGCAGCATCATTAATAACAATGTTTCGGTTTGTTTCCCTGATCAGACAGCAAATTGCTTCCTCTTTAGATGTGGTGAATTAGATTTTCATTTGGGAAACAGATTAGTGAGTCTAAAAATCCATAAGCCAGTGTAACTACTTGTTTTGCAATATAAGAGGGCAGAAGATTGAGGGCAGAAGATTGACTGGAAAGCTGAATTATTTAACTATCAACATTAAATTCCAAACCTTTTTCTTCTTCTATAGGTAACTATCTCTCCTTTCTTTTTGAATGCGAATGAATTGTTCAGGTCTAGATCAGCTGTCTGATGTCAGTAATTTAGTGGAAAAGGGCAATTTGAAGCTTAATCCAGACAAGACAAGAAGTGCTCTTGTCAGTCTTAAGGTGGATCAGGGTACAGAGATTTAGCCTGTATTGAATAGCAAGCACCGCATTCCCCTTGGAAACTCAGGACCATAGTTTGGATGTATTCCCTGCATTCTGCTCTGAACCTTGATGCTTATTTATGGTGGTGCATCGGGAGTGTTTGCACAGTTAAGAGAAGTATGCCAAATTCACCAGTTCCTGGAAATGTCAAGTCTAGGTTACATATATCATAGTTGCATGGTCTTCCGTACAACACTCTGAAATTACTTTTGAAAACTATTGGAAACATATATATTGATAAGTACTGTATTATAAGTGGTCTAGAATCTTGCGATCAAGTAACATGTGACTCCTTTGCTCAGTCACATCATTGTCTACTGTTTTATCACACAGTTCAAAGTACAATTTGAAACTCAAAGACCTGTAAGACACCAAATTATTTGAAAGGCTATATGCTTCCAGGTCTTTATATCCTTGGAGAGATGCCCTATGGGAAGCCTACCAGGAAAATAGGAATGCAACTTCAGCCTCCATCTTGTACTTATCTGCAAGTGGTAGAGGCAAACTAATACCATCCTTCATGGATTTAGCAAGTTCCCTTTTGAAGCCATCCTAGTTGGCATCCATAACTACATCTTGTGACATTGAGGAACGCCCTTCAACTATGCATTGTGTGAAGAAGAACTTGATACATTCTTCTCCTTGGTTGCTCACAAGTTCTAATAAGGCATGATTATTGCTAATTGAAAACTTTTCCCTACAATGGGAGGTTAGCTCCATCACTTTTAAAAAAAATTGGACAAGATTGACATTGAAATCATTGTGCTGATAATACTGGTTTTAATCTGATGGGTGCTGGTTTTCTCCATTCGGATCAATATGTTTTATTTTGTAGAGTTTTAGTGTTTGGATTGAACTTTATTATTTGTGTTTTTATTTTTATTTTATTAGCTTTCTTTAGCATTAATATCAGTAGATGTGGAATCTAAATGTACTAAGTAAATTGGCACTCAACCAAATTCATGTTCCCATATGGATGCTTGCTTAAAAGAAAGATGCCCTAGAGTAGATTTAACAGAACACCAGCTACTCTCTCCTTAGCTATTTTAACTGTATATTTTGGCAGCAGGCAAAGTGTTGGCTTGCTCCTGCCCCTATCCATATAAGGATGGAGACTGGAGAACATATGTAAACAGCAGGAAAATGCAGTTGCTGGAAGAAAAGCAATGTTTGGGGAGGGAGAACCCCATATAATGCTTAGTGATTGAAGAAGTTATGGGAGCTGGGTAGTCAGATCAGACCAAAGGGCTATTGAGTCCAGTTTCCTCTTTTCAAAGTAGACATCCAAATATCTATGGAAATTCAACAAGCAGGACTTAAATGCAACAATACTCTTCAGCTTGTATTCCTCTATAACTGTTATTCAAAGGCATGCAGTCTCTGATCTGAAGGTTGAGTATCCTTTTCCCAGAATTTTGAAATCTGAACTACTCCAAAATCATCCAGATGCATGGCGGAGATAGTGATACCTTTGCTTTTTTGGTGGTTCTGTGTACACAAGCTGTTTCATGCCCAAAATTATTAAAAACATTTTGTATAAAATTACCATCAGACTGTGTTTACAAGATGTATATACAAACATAAAATGAATTTCATGTTTAGACTTGGGCTCCCTATCCAAGATATCTCATTAAGTATATTTAAATATTCCAAATTCTTGGGGGGGGGGGGAATCCAAATCCAAAACAAGTGCTTCAGAAAAGGAAGACTCAGCCTGTATGTAGACCCTGATAGGTAGCAAGGATTGAACCATTTTAGTGTAGCAGAATTATTGAGAGAGTGCTGCGTGCCACAGCAAGCAGGAGTTGCTTTGGAGACTAACTGCTATGAAGCTTGTAATTTCTTCCTTCTGTTTCAGCTATAAGGTTGTGAAGAGTTAATTACAGAAGTGGAACATAAATAACAAGTTGTTGTGTGCCATCAAGTCATTTCTGACTTATGGTGAATCTATCATGGGGTTTTTCTGGCAAGTTCTGTTCAGAGGAGGGTTGCCATTGCTTTCTCTTTTTCACTTTTTACCCAAGGTCACCAGTGTGTTGCATGGTTAAGCAGAGAATCAAATCCTGGTCTCCAGAGTTGTACTCCAACACTCAAACCACTATGCCACGTTGGCTTTACTTTTCCCAATAGAAGCTGGACCTATAAAGGGGTACCTTCTACTCATGGAAGGAGTTATGCCCGCTTGGAAAGTTTTAAGGTGTTCTTGGAATTACTTTTGGCAATATAAGTATATTCACAAGTTCCATAGAGTGTAAGAGGTCTCCTACATGCAGGCAGTTTCTAACAGAGAAAAATATCCTTATATAAAAGGGCTGCCCTTTATGGAAGCAAGCCCAGAAGATTTAGCTTTTGCCTGTATTGCCATGGTAACAGGAGCCTTAGTGGAAAGCTGCATTTA